GTATCGAACTGGCTTGCTGGAACAACTGGCATCCGGGGAGGACAGAAATCCCCACCATCACAAAAGCATCTAAATTGGTTCAGAGTCGAGTTAAACCCACAGTTCCCACCTGTCTTGAGGCAACTTCTACATTGCTCTGCCTCCACATTCCGCTTAACTTCAAACCCTTGATTTAACACTTCACCAACACTCAATCCATGATTCACAAACCTTTTGACCGCCATCTCCATTACAGGAATCACAGCACTGATATTGCATGATCTCCTGAACTCTTCATTTCCCAACCTTGTATTTGGAGATACAAAGTAAGCATCACTGGGGATTTTATCAACTGGGCAGCGGAATTGATCTTTGGACTGCTTATTTGGATCACTTGTTGCGGCACAATCGTACAATATGTTGGCGTTTTTGTCGTTAAGGTGTAACTGAAGAGACCGGAGTCCATGGAGGTGTTAAGAAATATGTCCGGACAGATGCTTTTGGAGAAATATGTCCGGACAGATGCTTTTGGACAGATGCTTTTGGGTTTGGATATTGGAGGGTTGTGAAATCAAACCCAAGGGAACATGTCATTCGGGTTTTGAATGATTTTAAGATTTTCTCTTTTTTATGGACCTACTCACCCACCTCGAGCAATTTTTTCGATTTTGAAGTAGAGAGTTTTTCTATTTCTTTTGATTTACAATCGAGAGACACGCAATCAAGATTTGGAACACTAACACCAAGGTACACAGCTTATAAATATTCGATAGATCTCAGAGATTTGTGTGAAAGTATGCTTTTGGTTTCAAAGTAAGTCTGCTAAATTTAGTGGTTTTGGATGGTGGATTAATTTTTGTTGGGCTACGTGTTTTTGGTATGGGATTGCTATCCTTGTATCTTTGATTTTGGTGAATTGAAGCAGGGCTAGAGTTTCTTTTGGTCATGCACATAAAATGCTCGATCACATGCCTATGTGGGGTTTATGGGTTTTCATGACATACAGGATTGTGACAGGGCTTTTACAAAACAAGTATGGGGTGTTCTGTGAGGGTGGGATGTCACGTACATTACAATTGAAGGATCTTTGGTGTTATGTTAAAATTCAGATTTCTGTTAGCTAGGACAGCAATAAAGAGGGAAGAAAGGGCAGCATCAGTAACAGGAGTCTATGTAAGACTAATTATGCACAACAACAATACCAGGTTCACTCTCCACTTAAGGTTTATTGCATTGTTATGTGTTGTTATGCGCTGAAATGGGAGACTAATTGTTTATAAAATCTAGCAGGGGAATGCTCCATCATGTCTTGTTCTCTGGTATTGGCCTTGACAGTTTTTGTTTTGATAGTCCTTTGCTTTGTTTTGAGATGTGAATTCTACTTGTATTATGAATTTAGGTATCCTTTGTACTCATTTAATAAAATTATGGAATTTCCACCAATGAGGGGTTGGATTAAGTGATAAGCGGCTTATTTCAGTTTAAGTAAAGTCTCGAGTTCGAGACTTTGTGTACGCAGCAGCCTTCATTGGGAGATTCACCCACCATTTTCAGGTGCGCGACGCGAGTCGGTCCGAATTAGTCGGGGCAAAACCCCGGATACCAGGTGGAAAACCCAAAAAAAAAAAAAATTATGGAATTTCCAAAATAATAATAATAATAGGCAGATTTCCTAATGTTTAAGAATTTATGCAAACTTCTCCCATTCCTTACTTCACTCAGATGCCATACAACTTAAATTCAAAACCTATTAGTTTAGTGGAAGAAGATTATTATTGAATTAGTTACGTTATTGGCAACCAATGTAAAATATATATATATATATATATTATAATCATAATATAAGCATTAGGTTTTGTATATTAAAATGGGTGAAGAAGGGGGTTTGTGAAAAAGAACAAAAAGAGTTGTATTATATAACTT